AATAAAAATAAAAATAAAAATAAAAATAAAAATAAAAATAACTGTTGATGTTAGGTGTCATTAAAAGGTGAAAAGAAGTAAAAGTTCATGGAAAGAGTAAATGATCAACAAAGATGTGAGATAAAGATCAATGAGAAATTGCATTAACTTTTAAATTATTGCCTGATACAGTAAAACACACAGATTGTATACCTATGGTAATACCTATACACATTTCTTTAGCATTCATTGTGACGTCATTATTCCAGGATAAACATAAATGGAACTTAGATGCTTATTATAGGATTATAATGCTTATTCTCTTTAAGATGTATGTCCTTAATTGCTACTGGCATGGGAATGGGAAGCACCATTAAAATAGTACCAAAAAAATCAAATCCCATATTGTGCTTTGGCTTCCACATAAATAAATAATAGGTTCCTCCAGACAACTGAAGCGTAACATATCATATCACACAGGTGACGAAAAACATATATACTGGTTGCTGCATGTTAGTATCAGAATTTTCTTTTAATAGCTCGACCCAGGGATCAACAAAGAAAAATCTGAAGCCTCTGCTATTAGCAACAGATGATTCTATTCGGGAAAATAAAGCTGCACTTGTAAAGGACCTGGAAAGAAAACTGCATTTCAGAGAGGACGTTAATCATCAAAGTAGTCAGCAGGTAAGAAAACTGAGTGTTATTAAAATAAATTTCACCATGAACAAGATATATATTATTGCTAGTGAAACAAAAAGTGTTTGTTTGGTTGAGCTGCTACACTACTTTGCAGAGTAAAGTTTTGTGGTAAGTACTGGTTTGGGATAGCAAACTGGAGCTTTAAATAGGAAGTATGAGGGGATGCAGTTGTAGAGGGTTTACTTTGTGACCGAGTAGCATTTTTTATTTCAGATCATCTCTTTTAGAGACTGGTAGCAATGTAAAACTTTCTTCTTTCATGGAAGCTTCTGTACACTGCATTTCATTTTTTCACTTTCCAAGTTACTCAACTCATTGCACACATACACATTCATACACTGTATCTTTTTAACACAAATTAAGGAGTAAAGTAATCAAATCGTTTAAGAAATGGTTTCTGGTTTTACTTTGGTTGAACTAAAATGCAGTATTCAATTTTTAGCATTAAACCTATTTTTCCAAATCTCCTGACCTATATGAATTGACAGGGACGTGTTAGGAACTTAACAAAGTTTTTGGTAGCTGTTACTGGCATACACCGAACTTTAGGCCTAGCATTATTAGAATTTAGCAAAATAACAAGCCTTTTACACAGTTAAGGAACTAAATATCAGTTCATTCTTAACTGGAATCACTCAATTCACCAGATCTGGGCAGTGTCTGTGAAATAAAAGAGAAATCAAAAATGAAATGGTGTTTTGAGGTTGAAATCACTGTAAATCAGGTTCAACCCCCGTCAGATAACAGTAGGACACACTAAGGACTGCTAGATAGCTTTCTGTCTGTAGGCAATTATGCCACTCTCACCTTGGCCACGGAGCCCTCCATAGCTGTCCCGCCAGCTCAGGCTTAATGCAGCAAATAATGGTTTACCCTGATCTGTCGTCAACAAGGGAACTTTTCACACGCAAAGATAAGCAAAAAGCCCTGGAGTCTCTGGAGTAGATTATCCTCTGTGGACAACTGCAGTGTAATCCCTGTTTTTTTAATTTTGCTGTTGACCTTTCTTTCTGACAGATCACACTGCCAAAGCGCTTTGAGTGAAACAACTGGCAAGCAGTGTGTTTTGCAGATGAATCACAAGTGTTACAATTTGTACTTGCTATGGTAGTAAGACAAATTATTTAGAGAGCTACTGTGAAATACCAATCAGTCTTTCGAGTTAACTGCATGATAACCCCTTTAGAAACAATGATCACTACTAGCGTCAAAGTTATCTGCAGACAGCAGAAGTTATTTATACGCTTATTTGCTATTCTGTATGAGACCAAACCAAAATCTTGACTCTCAAATGTCCCAAACACTGGAAAACTTCAAAGCTGGCACTTCTCTAATAGTTACGGTAATTAGAATGCCAATGGTAATGAGCTGGAAAACAATTTTAGGATTGCTCAATGAAAGTTTTTTTTCCCCCTCAGTTCCCACCTTTAATCACTTCTGAGTTTGTTCTTCCGCATCCAGGAAAACTACTGCTCAGCAAATTCAAGTCTGAGTTTTCCCCTCAGTGAAAGCAGTGATTATTTAAAGAGATGAGAGGATACATAGTATTCCCCAAAATTCCTACTGCTTTGCTGTTTATAGAACAACCAACATTGTGAGAATAGTATGTTGGAGTGCTGGATTCATAACCATAGATTTTGTCCTGTTTTTTCCTTTTGTAGGTAACACAGAATTAAAAAGGAGACATTTTCATCCTATATATAGCATATCCACATTACATTGATTATTATTATAATGGTAGGGAAGGGTTTCTACTCGCTTTCTCATAAATAGGAATGCAACTCTCCTCTGTATGAGAGATCACTGCATAATGAATGGAGTACAGCAGCCAATAAGGATCTCAAAGTGTTGCCTTCCTTGTATTTTCTACATGATATTTTAAAAATTCCTTCCCATAAAATGTGTCCTGTAGCATATTTTTATTTAGAGAATTGTGTTGTAACCCCATACTTCAATAGCAGCATTTGCTCTCATTTACAGTATCTGCAGAGCATGTAGGGATCATCCAGAATGAAAGCTGCAGACGACAAGTCTGTGTCTTACAGTACTGGTATTGTCTTCTGTTACTACATAAAGTGCAGTAACGAACATGAGTGATTTACATCCTGGTGCTCTATTTATTATCATTGACTTCCATATGAAAAGTGTTTAGCTTACAAGTCAAGATTTTCCTGAGTGTCAGCATTATGCACTCAGCACGATACCTAATAATCCAGATGTACTCCTTCTGTTTCATCCAGTACGTCATTCATCACCAACAATAAAGAAACCCAGAATCAGAACATAGTTGGTAATTTTGCTGATGTTGCATGAGACAGAACAGATTAGTCTCTGGTCTTCCACAGCTATGATAATCATGCAGTGCTGACAGAAATACAAATATGATTTTGCTAAGATTCTAGCTGCAACTTTGAGCAAGTACATGCACTAACAAGCTGTCATTTTTTACCAGAAAAAAACACCATACCTGTCATTTATGCAGATGGTAGTATGCTATATTGCCAGGTGAAATTTCATCACCATTAGGAGTGTTGAAAAAAAGAGGCTCATTTATACCAAATGTCTTCAGTTAGATTTGCTCGGTTCCTTCAAACAGAAGATACACTAAATGAGGATTAGCTTTAGGCAACTGCAGGAAGAGGTTAGGACAAATTCCAGGATACAGGAGACTTAACTCAGTTTCTTCCTTGGCCAGTTGAATTCATAACTCTTAACTCCTGTAAGGACAGCCTAACTCCTTGCCAGTGAGTATGTGTACTGGTGGTGCTGCCCCAGGTTGCACAAATAATTAAGCATTCTTTCTCAGCAGGATAAAAACCTGGAAATTCCACCTTTCAGAACAGCTCCCTTAACAGGAGACCTGAGCCTTTCTCTCACCTTCTCCAGCTCAATGAATAAAACTTAAGACTTTCAGGC